TGAGTAAACAAGCAAAATGTGGTCTTATCCATACAATGGAATAGGACTCAGCAGGTTTTTTTTAAGCTGCTAAAATACATAACAAAATGGGTGAATCTCAGAGAAATCAGGCTAAGTGAAAGAAGTCAGACACAAAAGACTCTATGATTTCATTTATACAAAATTTCTAGAAAAGGCAAAACTATAGAGACCAAAGTAGATTGGCAGTTGTCTGAGACCAGGGAAGGGGGCAGATGGTGGAGGGGTTCTAAGACTTGGCTGTGTTAGTTGGGTGTGTGACCGGATAAGTAAATGGGTGAATTTTAGGGCGTATAAAGTATACCTCAAGAGGCTGTTAGAAATGATTCTAAGAATAGTTAAAGCTGGCTGTCACAGGGGGAGAAAGACGAGTGTGATGTATATTGTAAATGTGGGTTTGCTCTCACTGGTCTCCAGCCATGAGGAGCTGCTACAGAAGAGAAGGAGGAAGCTGGCCAGGCCCTGAGGCTGCTTCCAGATCCAGACTGATCACGTCCTAGTCAGGGGCTCAGGCAAGTACAAAGGATCCAAGATCATTCCCATTTCGTCATCTGTAAAACGAGAGCTGCATCACCTGCATGGCAGGGTATTTGAGACTCAAGTGAGCCCTCGGCCAAAGACCCTGAGAAGCTTGCCTGGGACCCACGAGGCCCCAGGAAAGGCCAGGGTGACGCCACTTTACGTTTGGTTACTTGCTGTGGTTGTCACCCGCGGAGGTCATGCTTCATGCTGGGAAAGACTCGGGCTTGGGGACCCCTGATTACTGTCGACACTTTATTTGGTTTGTTTAGCCTGGTCTCTGAAAGCTGTTTCTAAATAGAATTTGAAGCATCCTGTATTAACTTAGACCTGAGGATGGACAGAGATTATAAATAACCAGGCGTGACGGATCCCACACAGACCTTCAACTTGACATCCACCAGATATCTGAAAAAAGAAATGACAGAAACCTATTAGATCGTTCTACTCCCCGAGGGGTACAACTGAGTAGGTGTATTTTAAATGAATCAGACCCAAACTTGAGCTTTAGAAAATTCTACTTAAATGGCTACTCTCCTGACTGTTTCTGAGGCCCATTTGATGGTCATGGTGGCCGTTGTTCACTGCATTACCGTGGAAAGTTCCGGTAATCATTTATTTTTGCTCCAGCGTGTTCCAGAAAGGATTTAGTGCCACTCACAAAGTTATAATACAAGTTAATTTTAAAAAACCAAAGTATGGCAGAAGGAAGCTAGGAACAGGTGAGTGAGTGATGTGGTAGCAGAGGTGAAGTTGGTACCCAGAGCATAAAGGCAAGGTCTACACACAAGCTGGGACCAACCCCCAAACGGGATTTCTGAGCTTCTTGGCGGTCAATTCAGTGACATAAATGAAAGCAGCAGAAAAGTCACAGGATCCCAGAGGATTAAAAATTAATAATGAAATTGGTAAAGCATTTTCTTGAGAGATGCAAAAAAGTATTACTGACACTAAAATTAAAGAGGAATATTTTCCATAAGTCATCCTAGGAATAACAATTTTCACTCAACCCAGTAAGGGTTTCCACCACCCTCAGGACAGGGCACCACATGTGGGAGCAGCTCCACCTGAGACCTGGGTGCCCTCTAGGCCACTGGACGACATCTCTTTCACCAGATAAGAAATATTATGCTTTTGATGGTTATGTCCAAAACAAAAAGTGAATCTTAAGTGTCAGTGTAACCAAAAGTTGTTTTATTGTATTACATTAGCAGAGAAATCATGCAATAATTTTTTACATTTCTTATTGGCAGACATTTATTTGTTTTAAAGCAGTTACGAAGAATTAAAAAAAATTTTTTTTTTTTTTTGTGGTACGCGGGCCTCTCACTGTTGTGGCCTCTCCCGTTGCGGAGCACAGGCTCCGGATGCGCAGGCCCAGCGGCCATGGCTCACAGGCCCAGCCTCTCCGCGGCATGTGGGATCTTCCCAGACCGGGGCACTAACCCACGTCCCCTGCATCGGCAGGCACACTCTCAACCACTGCGCCACCAGGGAAGCCCTAAAGATTTTTTTTTAAATTGTTACCTACCTGAGAATTCCAGGCTAGCTTTGAGTACACTTTATACCTACAGGAAGGCGTAAACAGCAGAACGAGAAGGAAAGTGCTGTAATAGGAAATGGAGGAGTTGGGTATTTAATTTTAGTTTAAATTTTGATTTAAACATCAAAATTATGCTATGAAAATTTAAAGCCTTGCTTTTTAAAAGTAGGTTTAATTTGGTATCATTATCATGTTTATTTTCTATAACACAACTCAAACTCCTTTGAATTAGAATGACATAAATGACCATGTATTTCAGTTGCTAAATATATGAAGATCACAAGGTGATTCTCAAATTCAATAATACAGAAAAAATTAAGAAATGTCATTTAGTAATTTTCTTTTTATGTTCTCAGTGTCTCTCAACTCTCAGATGTCAAAAACAAGTGAGACTTCACTGTGAATCACCTTTTCAGTCACACACACACACACACACACACACACCCCACTGAAATTATTTTTATTTAGTATTATTCATCTTAGTTGCTAACGGAGGCATACTAAAAGTATTCCTCATATTTATTTCCCAGTTGTTTTAACAGATGTACAAGAATTCTAGCCAGGCTCTGGACAAATGTTTGAGCACAGCTAAAGAAGCTGCAGTGGTTAATGATTTTACAGAATCATTTCTTTACTGGTTTATGTATTTTTATTTGAGATTGTGGTATTGTGGCTATGACTTCTAAAGATTTATCTTTTAGAAATAATGTTGAAATAAAATAATATGGTGTGAGAGAACTGCTATTAAATAATAAAGGTGGGAGGGAGATGAAAGAGGGAAGAGATATGGGGATATATGTATATGTATAACTGATTCACTTTGTTATAAAGCAGAAACTAACACATCATTGTAAAGCAATTATACTCCAAAAAAAAAAAAAAGGTGGAGAAAAGGGCTGAGATACAGATAAAAGAGAACAGCCACTTGAGTGTGGAATCTGCCTGTGGGTAGTGAGTGCCCAGGGGGCGTTCTCTCTCCTTGTGTAAGTTTGACATTTTCCCTGATAAAAAGGTGAAGGGGCCACAGCAGCAGCAGCCCTGAAATTTTCCACGAAGATCTGAGAACTCCTTAAAGAGCAAACGTAGGGAATCCTGGGGACCTGGCCCTGGTCTAATCCCACTTCTTGTTTCCCAACAAGGAAGACAAAGCAGCAGATCGAGCCTGTTCTGTCTCCTCCGTGTTGTCCACGGCGCCTGCTGTAAGATCCCGGCACTCACGGTTCCCATCTCACTCTGCTGTCGGCATGTCCCCAGGAACCGTGCATTTTGTTTCTTGGGTCAAGCACCCCTCTGTGACTCTGTCTCAAAGGCTTTTGCTCAGACTGTTGAAGAAAAAATGATTCTGACACTTGTTAAAGACAGTAAGGAACTTTCTTCCAGGACCACTGCACAGGGGTTTGCAGTAGGGGGGAAGTGGGGCTCAAATCCCAATATCACCACGACAGGGGTATAACTGCCCTGCTGGACCGTCCGGATAATAGCACAATAGAGCATTTCTCTTTAGACCCGGGGTGCGTGTGTGTGTGTGTGCGTGCGTGTGTGTGTGTGTGTGTGTGTCTCCTCATTTGACTCTTTGAAGGAAATTTTTCAAGGAAGCCCACAGACTCCTTCAATGGAGTGATGAGAGCGGCCCTGGAAGATTCCAGAAGGAAGCATCAATCCAGGGAGACAGGATAAACGCTGAGGGTCCAGCTCCTCTCCTTGGCGTGGAGACTGTCCCTTCCTGTCCCCTGTGGGCAGTTTGGGTTTGTTGTTGATGACAGGCAGGCACGATAGATACAGAGACGTGCGGCACAAGCTTAAAAGCTTAAAAGCTGCTCCCAACACTGGAAGTCAGGCTGGGATGGACTAGAACCTGGTGAAGCTGGACTCAGGGCCCCCTGCTCCCCCTTCCAGGTCTTGTACCTGATTTGTACTCATAATTCTGTGTTCCTTTTCTTCAAAGAGGGTCCACAAGTTGTATAAGCATCAGGCCCCTCAATACTTGGATCCACCCTTGTGTGGAATCGTGAACCAACTCAGGTCTTGTTTCTTCCTGCAAAGAATCTGCACTGATTCTTAGGGAGAGCAGCCTCGACTGCTTCCTGGCGGGGTCACCCCAGGCCCTCTCCTGCAGAGCAGAGATGGAAATCGGTGCTTCCTTGGTTTGGGAAGGGATATAAATATTCTAACAAAGAGTTTTGTGAAAATTTATGTCACTTATTTTATACTTAGCTGCTAATGTATAGTCATCTGCTTCCATAGCACTGTTCATTTAATTTGGATACTTCTGGAAATACGGATTCATAGAGCCACCTTTACTGAGGTAGACAGGCTGCTATTTCAGAGGCTGCTGGTGCCGTAAGGGATGGGCCTGCGCACAGTGTGTGAACCAAAAATCCCAGTTCACGCTTAACTCAGAGTTTCTAAAAAGGTCAAAAAGAGTAAATCACTATCCCCAAAGGGTATAATTTTAAAAGTTTCTTTCTTATGTACCTAATGCTTTGGGGCTGAATTTAACCCATCTGCTCAACCATGTCTATTCATAATCGTGGATCACCTAGAAAATTTAAAAGAAGCAGCTAAAACAGAACTTGCCGTTGTAACAAGCATGTTTTTTCACGGCTGAAATGGCCATTCTGCTAGTCAGGTCGTTGTGGCCTAAGAACTTTAAATTCTTAGTTGTATTGATAGTTGGTGAATGTCATTAATTTTTGACTTGTCATTTCCACTTTGAGGAACTTTCTGGAACAATAAGAATGTTTGAGCAGTAGATTGAGTGGTGAGATCTGGACCTTCCACCCCATGTGTGGAGTCAGCCTCCACGAAGAAAACAATTTATGCACTCCCTGCAAATGTTTTTGGCATTTTCTCTTTACTTTTAACTTTCGGAAGAAGGTAACACATGGGTTTTCTTATCTGTAACTTTTTCAAACTTCAGGAATTCTTCGATCACGTGAAGAAGCTCTGGGATGACGAAGGCGTGAAGGCCTGCTTCGAGAGGTCCAACGAGTACCAGCTCATCGACTGCGCCCAATAGTGAGTCTGTCCGCGAGGACCAATCCGTGCTGCCCTCCCAGAATCTCTGAACTTCCTTAAGTACAAGGAACAAATAATTAACAACTCATTGCAGAAACCAGCTTTTAACATAAGATGAGTTTAGTAGATGCAAAACTGAAAATCCAGCAGGAGGCAGTGTTTCAGGGAAGAACCAGAAGCAGTTATATTCATTATACCTCGATCTTTGTATTCAGTTCTAGTCATTTTTTGCCTTCTATAGAGTTATAGGCATGTTCATAAATTATAACATATTTAGGTATTCATTACTATATTTTAATTTTGGAGCCGGGGCCCCCAAATTAAAATTTAAATAATCCACATCTGCCGTCAGGCCGAAGCTCTTACTTAAAGTAATGAGATCATCCTACACACGTTTGAAGTAGACTAGAACCTCAAGAGTAGATGGTAATTAAAATAATAAGTAAATATATGATGAAAAAAATGTATGAGGAGAAATAAGCAAAGGACTCTGGTGCCAAGGCTGGCTCATTGTTTTTCCCTGAAATTCTCATTTTCCTATTTCCTATCTTTCGCTATTTTAAATTCAGTCTATAACTATTACAGCATAATGGTCCCCAGAAGAAGGTTAATCAATGAGTTTTAGCTGTGTTTGCTCATTTGATAACAAAAACTGTATTTAAAGTTTGTCTTAAATAACCCTTTGGGCAGCAAGAAATAAGCTTTTATACATTTTAAGTCTGTAAACTCTAAAAATCCATACTTGTGGGAAAGGTTCCAGAAGCGTAAAATGGAATTCACAGTATTTGGGACCAAATCTACACTATTTAGAACTACACTGTGAATACTGACTTTAAGGACAGGGAGGTGCGGCCGCCCCCGGGCCCTCCCCACCCCTCGGAGCTCAGGCTCCATCACCTGTCACGGGCGAGGGGTGCTGAGCGGGGTGGGCAGGGCCCAGGAGGGGACGCAGGCATGTCCCCAGCACTGACAGGAAGCGTTGTGGGTGCCCAGCGGTGATGGAGGTGGCCGTGGACAGGCGAGAGGGGTCGAGGGGCCACACCCTCCCAGGCCAGGGAATGTGGATTTTCCTCCGGACGCAGCGAGTGGCCATCGGCTGGAAGAGTGAGTCTGTCAGGTCACTCTGGTGCTGCGTGGAGGGTGAAACGGAGGCGGCAGAGACCCGTGGGTGCACACAGGCAGGTGGTGGCCGTGGAGGTGAGCCTGGGGCCTCAGGGACAGAGCCAGGCATTGGATCAAACAAGGGAGGTGGAGGAAAGGGGGGGTGGTCAATGAGGATGACCACGGGGCCGTTATTGGGACAGGGACCCAGGAGATGTCGTTTATGGAGGACAGGATGCTATCAAGCTCTGGTTTGGGGAAGTCTAGCTGTGATGCCAGAGGGATTTCTAGCACAGCTGGAGATAACATTAACATTCATATAGGTTTGCTTTTGAGGTTCTGGGGGAAAGTGTCTGACCGTGGTTCCCAGTATTTCTTGAGCGAAGTCGCCTCTGGACCAGAGCGCCCTTCAATGTCACATTAGGAGTTTCTCTTTCTTATAAAAAGAGACAACGCATCACCATAGCAATAGAATTAATGGTTTACTTTAAAATAGAACATGCAAAGTAAATTTGACAAAAAGAAGCAACATGAGCTTCGACAACAGGCAGTGAGGATCCAGATCTTTGCTCTGCTGCCGAGAGCAGAGAGTTTGGGCAGGTTACTTCCATGGGGATAAAATTATGGGCTGTATTCCTGTACAGTTGTTGTAGGGTTAAGTAGAGACCCGAAACCCCAGAGTGGCACCTGGCACACGTGAGCCCTCCTGAGCTCTTGCTGCTGTGTCTCCAACGTGGGAACCGAGGTCCAGGGGGTAACCTGAGGCCACTGAGATCAGGGTTCCCACCTGGGGGGTGGCGGGGCGGGGAGCCCCCGCCAAGCTCTGCTATTTCTTTCAGTTCCGTACTTTCAAATTACAGAGAGTGAGACTCTGAGGCACGAGGTCAAGACCCCAGGCTCGTCAAAAATAAAACACCAGGGTTCCTGTGGTCTTCACTCTGGGCTCGGCAGAATCACAGAAAGCGGTTCCCCCCTAAACCTCACTATCTGGGTCAATCATAACGTCCCAGCTTTGCTTTTTTAATCCATTTTAATATGCATGGGAATCAGGTTAGGTCAGCAACCTTTGTCTCTTAATAACAATCTTGTTTTTCCTCTGCACTCAGATGTTGAGGTTGGGGGTGAGACATTTCAAAAACAAGTAATATTTCAGTAACTCTTTTTAGACCGACACATGGAGACAGATGTTTTTTTGTTGTCAAATAAGATATTGAAGGAACGTAGCTGCTTCCACCTCCCATCACCTTTGCTCATGAAATAAAGGACAGAAAGGACATTTCAACGTCCAGCCGGGGATGTCCTGGGACCAGGACGCTCATGCCGGCTTGCCCAGCGCCCCAGAGTTCCAATTCCTTGGCGAATGCATGTTGTTCCTCCTCAAAGACCTGGTTCCTTAGTGGGAGTTCTTGCATGAAATCAGGGCTATCGGAAATAAGCGAATGGGCAGATCGGGAGCCCGGGGCTCAGCGCGGGGCCGATGGGGCACTGAGCTTTGCCCTGGCAGAGTCCAGGGTTCTGACAGGTCTTTTCCTCTCTCTTCTGAATCTCTTCTGAATCTCTGAGAAAATATCTGCCGACATCTCAGTGTGACTCTAAGTCACTATGTTACCTGCTCAGCAGTCTTGTGTTTTGAGCCCAAGTGCTAATTAAGAAGGGATTCATTCTAAGCCCTGTTGAAGTAATTTCTTCCATGGCAGAAACCACGGGACTATTTGGGGGAAGAGGCGCTTCCCAGGGGGGCTGAGCTGCCAGTGAAGAATCCAAGGATGGTCTCGCCACGGTAACTCAAAAGCTTAAACACAGAGGAACCCGGCAGTTTCTCCCCTGGGTATACACCCAAGAGAATTAAAAACATACATCCACATAATAATGTGTACATGAATGTTCACAGCAGCCAAAAAGTACAAACAATGCAAATGTCCATGAAAGGATAACTGGATGAACAGACGTGGTCTGGCCACACAATGGGATCTTATTTAGCCATGAAAGAGAACAAAGCACCAACACGTGGTACGACATGGATGAACCTTGAAAACGTGAGGCTCAGTGAGAGAAGCCAGACATAACACATATTGAATGAGTCCAGTTGTATGAAATGCCCAGAACAGGCAAATTCATAGAGACAGAAAGTAGATTAGTGGTTGCCAGGGGCTGGGGGAGGGGGAAATTGCGAGTGACTGTTAAAGGGTACGGGGTTTCTTTTGGGGATAATGAAAATGTTCTGGAACTGAATCGTAGTGATGGTTATAAATATACTAAAACCCGCTGAATCGTGTACTTCAAAATGGTGAGGTTTATGTTATGTGAATTATATCTCAATTTAAAAAAGGAAATATTACAGGGGAGGGAAGGGTCCGGGACAGGACAAGCAGTGGCACCACCAGTCAGTCTTGGTGAGGACTCGTGAGAGCAGAAATCCTGCCTCCTCTCTGTCCTCTTCCCAACAACAGATTCAAGTCTAAGCAAGCATTTTAAGGGCTGCTTCTTTGTACCCATCGCCCCCTCTCCAGGCCGCGACACACGGGCGCACGTGGAGCTCCCAAGTTATAGATCACCTTTCATATGAAAATGAGAAAGTCTGCTCAGGTCTGTGCGTGCTACCTGGCATGCAAGGCGCGGACACTTGCTAAGGCTCCTTCAGGAAAGGGGGGATTTGTTCTGAGTCTCTCAGAGCCACTGAAGCCCAAGGCATCACAACCTCTCTGTCCCTGTCTGCTGACCCGTGGGGCCATCCCATAACCCTCAGACCAGGGCCCAGAGGAAACAGGGCAGACGGGTTTGCTCCAACCGGGCAGGCTTGTCCCTGTCACCCCGGCCAGCGGCCACCTCTGTGTCCCCAAGCAGGGCTGCGGCAGGCGGGGTGGGCACTGCACCATCCAACACCAGGACCAGCCTGGCTGGAGGAGCATGGCAACAATCATTATTATGAACTTCAAGGGTTATACATTTGGTAAAAATGAGTGTCTTTGCAACATGAAGCAAGCTGAGCAAATTAGCAGAGATTATATTCATACAGAGGTCCCCAATTCCCACTGTGAAAATTAAAAACAATCTCTACTACATTAGCCCCCAAAATGCGTTTCCTTTAAGTGCTAATAATAAGTGATTATGTAGCCATGGAAACAGCTATTTTGAGAGAAAGGAAATCAGGGAAAATCAGATTTTTATTTATTTATTTATTTTTGGCTGCGTTGGGTTCTGGGTTGCTGCACGCAGGCTTTCTCTAGTTGGGGAGAGTGGAGACTACTCTTTGTTGCAGTGCACAGACTTCTCATTGCGGTGGCTTCTCTTTGTTGTGGAGCACGGGCTCTAGGGCGCATGGGCTTCAGTAGCTATGGCACGTGGGCTCAGTAGTTGTGGCTCACGGGCTCAGTAGTTGTGGCTCATGGGCTCAGTAGTTGTGGCTCGTGGGCTTAGTTGCTCTGCAGCATGTGATATACCTGGACCAGGACTCAAACCCGTGTCCCCTGCATTAGCAGGTGGAGATTCTTAACCACTGAGCCACCAGGGAAGTCCCTGGAAAATTGGATCTTTAGAACAGGTTTATAAAATCATACTCTGCTTAATCTAACTTGAAACTCTACAACTTGGAGGGTATGTAGGTTCTCACGCTTTGCACACATGTGTTTACGTGATACTCACCTTTCGTATACATCCATTTACATAATTGGTTTTAGAACACTCTGGAAAGGAGAGAATATCCCCCTCAAAAGAAAAGAGCAGTGAGAAAGGTGTAGTGATTTCCCACGTGTGCCCTTTGCCGCCCGGCAGGAGCCCATGGGGGCCCGTTTGTCCCCTCCACACCAGCCTGGATCTCAGGGCTTGCAAGTCCTTGAATGTGAGGTTTCAGGACAATCTGGAAATTATTCACAAAAATGAAGTTTCAACTTCAAAGTGGA